ATAACGGGAAAAAACTCATTTAACTGATCTTTTTCATTTTTTTTCTCACACAATGCTAACAGTGAGCCTCTGAATTAGCCCAGAGCGAAAAATGCAAACCTATTACTGCACCGAAAATCACTCCTAGCTCCCTTATTACTTATCCTAGCTGCACATCCAACACATCGTTTATGATCGTAAAGATACAGAATCTAACGGTGCCCACCTACACACTGAAAGATACAAACTCGCGACGTTATCAACAAAAACGTACATCAAAACATGTGGCGCTACGTAGCCCACAACGCTAACATGGCTTACCTTGGTTTTGTCTGGTCAAAACTGGTCTTCAATTGCATTACAATGATAACAACCGATTGATGTAGTTAATCCATAGGTTAATATCCAATGTGGCTGCGTCACTTTGAATGTTCTGATAATCTATAAGCAATAAAACTGCAATTCCGTTTTTAAATAGTAGAGCAGGCCATTCCTACGCTCTGTAGCGAGATTGAATGCGCGAAGACGCCACCTTTTTTTTTAAACATGAGTGTGTGCGGGAGGATTTCCCTTCGATTCTATTGGCTCTAACGGTCAGAAAGAGATGTCACATGTCAAAATCGAAGAAGGGGGGCCAGAGATAAGGAAAATCCACCCAAATGCCCCCAGAAGAGGGTTTTTTTGCTAAATCCGTCTAAAAAGGTCAAATATCACTTGTTTTGCATCAATCTTGATACAGGGTACCTATTATATGTTGTACTTTGGATTCCTAAAGCTTTTAGTCTACTAACCCATCATCCAAGGGTAGTTTTCACTATAAGTACAACATATGTTTTGGACGGATACTATAATTTACAGTTTTTTACCATGTTCAATCTGAATTTTCTTTAAAATAAAAAACATCTATATTGATTCTGACTTTTATAGATTCAACTCACAGGTTTATCATTACTTTGAGAAAAAAGATTATTAATTTAACCCTTGTAGAAGGGAAGATATGGTCATTTGTTCTGGGAATGTCATTTTCGAGCCTGGAACCTGTAAAACAGGCTTGGGGCTTAAGAGGTTTAACAAATCCCTTGAAAACCAACAATGTTGTAGTCCGTCTCTCAACATCCTTTTGTGGTGCTCAGTAGGCTTTTTAAAATATCCACCCTACATTTGAAGTATTCAGCAATACCCTGCTGTTTATTCTGGCATCATGTTAAACGACTAAAGGTTGAGGACATTCAGGAAAAAAAACACCCATTTACCGGGCAATAAAGAGTTCATCAGAAATAATCAAAGTAACGTCCACATATTATAATATAAGTTTCCTGGGCGCTGTAGTTTTTAGAAAATATGACTCAAACAAAAGTGCCCACAATCATTTTAATGAGGCAATCTAACCTAGTGCAACGTTGTGACACTATGTCATGGTTTGCCTGGAAAACGCTTATTAAAATAAATTATGTGGCAATCCCCTGAGATTTCATGTAGCGCCATAATAATGTCACATTTATTTTTTTTATGATACTTTACGACAGAATACCCAGAAAACGAATGCCATCAGCCTAGTTTTGATTTGTGTTCAGTGCTAATTAACAGATGTAAACATATCAATACAAAATATGAAAAGGAAACACCCATCACAGAATCCGATGAGTGCTGGGTCAAATAAAGTGAGTAATAGCAATACACATATATCCGCACACCCTAAAGCTCCCATCTGAATGATTTTAATGCTGCTGTGAAACAAACAAGCTCTTCCACAACATTAAATGAAACACCTATTTACCAGCATGTGTGCACTGTGAGATTAAGCGTGTTAGCTTGTGAACATTTAGCTTAAAGCACTGCTGCTAGCTACTCATATATCGGTTAAAAAAGCAAAGTGAAAGCTAGTGGGACGACTCTAGCCCTGCTACTCACTGATTCAGATTGGAATGGAGGGTCATCTTCGCTGCCTACTGTCAGCTATGAAGAGATATCAGTCACATTAGTCGCTGTGTCTCTCCAGCAGAGTCTTTTTATACTTTCCTGAAGAGTGTGATTAGTATTCTCTGTGCATGAAGAGCTTGTGGTGGCCACCGAGTGCCAGACTTTTCTCTCACCCCTCTTTATGTCTCTTTTACTCTGTATTATTTCCTCTGTCTCTTTTCTCTCTCCTCTTCCCTCTCCTTCTCTGCCTTTCCTCACACTCCCACCTTTTTCATAGTCGGAGAGAAAAGAAAGAATAACAGGAGTCATGCCCTATCACTATCAACCCATCACTGAGCTGGATTCAGTCTTTGCCTTTAATCTGCGGGTCACTAATGGCTTCGATGAGCTCAAGAGCTTCAGTTTTTAATATTTTGCTCTGGAGGCTGAAGGGCGGCGGTGGCTCAAGAAGTAGGGTTGGCCGTACACCTGTCGTAAAATCTGCAGTTCCATCTGGTAATGGATCATAAAACCCCACACATGGAACCTATTTCTGTCTGATAATGTTTACTTGTTGAGATCCATCCCTTATTTAACATCATATTCTGAAAGCTATATCCCTGCCATCAATGTGTTGTTTTGCATCAGCCATGTGCTCTAATAGAGATGCACTTTCTTTGTTTTTTTACCTGGCAAGAGTGAACAAATGCTAATGTCAATTAGGGTTGCAAAGGGGCGGAACATTTTTCCGGAAATTTTCCAGAAAGTTTCCGTGGGAAGTTAAACTGGGGAATTTTGGAAATATTCGATGCAAGATTAAACAAAAACATGACGTTTCAACAGATTTTTTATTTGTTTTAAGTAGAACAGAACAAGTTTTAATTATTTTACTGAACAATTATTTGTTTCATTGAAGAACGAAAACATGAATGTTGAGTTAAATATTACTCATCTGTGCATGTGATGGAGGAATGCACAGTGCCTGTAGGGGGTGTGGTCTCAATAGCCATGCAGTTAGCAGTGTGCTATGGCATGAATATTCAAGTGTACTTGAATGGCATCTGTTTGTTTTGCTAAAATATACTTTCCCCAACAATATTTAAGTTCCCTATGAAGAGCCAACCTTCAATTTTGAAAATTCCCAGTTATTCCCATAAATTCCCGTTTATTCCCAAGGAAAGTTTCCATCTTTGAAAATTCCCGGAATTTTGCAACCCTATTGTCAATACTCTTTCTGAAAACACTATTTATAAAACAATATGAGCAGTGCCTGTTTACTAGAGATTGTGTGTTGTTCATCATAACTACAGCCGCTCCCACTTACAGCATAAAGGGTCATCCGTCATTTCTCTCAAGATACTCTGCTTAATGTTGTTAAGGTGCACAAGATCCAGGTCCACTGTCACGGTTTGAAAAGGTTAATTCACTTAGGAAAACATCTGGCATCATCAATGGGTAACATCCAACTGAATCACAACATTTTACAGCCAAACTCAATGTGCCGTAATGACGTGAAATTGCAATCTCCGAAGAGAAAGCCAGGAAAACAATTTCAAACATGAAGGGTTCACTTGTTTATTACATTTATTTTATGAATAATGATTCACATCATAGATATATTTTCCACTGATACTGAAAGTGATGCTTATACAACTCCTAGGATTAAAATGAATGTGTCATTTTCATTATAGATAATGGAAAAATAAATGTAACATCAATTACCCACTTCAGGCGTCATTTACCATCAGACTGGCTCCTGTGTGCCAGGAAAAGTAGATCTCTTGTAAAATTCCTTTACTTAGCAATCCACAACAGAGAGCTGAGGATGGGTCGCTCCATTGTCTTTCTTCCTCAGTCCGATATAAGTTATTCATGTGGTCAGACAGACTCATTCTCTCACTGCCTCTACCTTTCACTTGTGGCTTTGTGGGTTTTCCCGTTGCACCATGACCTTTAGTTAATGCCATCTCTTCTCTTTCTTCCACACAAAATGCAGGTCTGTAACATCAGCCAGATCCAAATGTCTGACTTTATGAAATATCAATACAATCTTGTGTCACAGGCTTCTCCAATAGAGCAACACAAAACACAGATAAACAGAAAAAATATATTGCAAGTAAATAGTAATACAAAAAGAAAAATAGTTTTAAGTGAAATAGTGCAATAAGAGTCTATATGCAAGTTATTGAAATAGGATATAGGTAAATAGATAAATGATTTTAAAATAATTGTTAAGTAGCAGCCAGAGGAATATTAGAGATGTTGTTTCAACTTTTCAGGTGTTTAACAGATTTAGCTTCAACAGTTCAGGTGTTTAACAGTCTTATTTCCTGTGGGATGAAACTGAACCTGAACGTATGACTAAATAAAGAACCTTGAACCTTGACCCTTTTTTCTTTGGCAATGTGAAGTGAACTTGATTCATACAGTCATAAATGTAATTTTGTTGTGTATCTGTGTTGAGAAATACTTGTGTAAATGAGGTACAAAGTAACTTAATATGTATATACTTATTTCGACCTTATATCTTTGCATTCCAGGACTTTCAGGCCTGACTTCGTCTTGGTGCGCCAGCACGCCTTCAGCATGGCCCAGAACGAGGATTTTAGAAACCTGATCATTGGTCTGCAGTATGCGGGCATCCCCTCGGTCAACTCTCTGGATTCCATCTACAACCTCTGTGACAAACCTTGGGCTGTAAGCTATTTCAGCAAAACTAGTTTACACCTGCAAGAACCTACAAAAAAGTTGTATTAGCTATACTTTGCATTGAATAGATGTTTCAATATGTTTTAATGGAGCTTGTAGCTGTCAGTTTACATTTTTGTTAGGGTGACTCGTGTCTTTTTCTTGGTTTCAAGCAACAATTCTAACGATCTAAATGATTACTTTAAGAAAAATGTCTCTGTTCTATGATTTAAATCACAGTTAACTCTCTCCCTCTATTTCTCTCTTTCCTCCTCTCCACCAGTTCTCCCAGCTGACCAATAACCAGAAGAAGCTGGGTTCAGATAAGATCCCTCTCATTGATCAGACTTTCTACCCCAACTACAAAGACATGGTAAGATTTATATTGCATAATGTCAGAAACCTTCAGCAAGTTCTCATCAATGTACAGAATGTGTTGAGCCATAAAGTTTCAAAGTATCGTGTTTTTAGTTAACTATTTGTCTCAGGGCAGTGAGATGTTCTCTGAAAGCAGAAAGTCATGTTGTCTGTAGATTTTGTTGGTATATCTCTGGTAAAAAAAATATTGAATCACTTCCAAACTTGCCATTTACCCTTTTTGAGGTATAAATAACAACACTTACTTCAGATAAGTGTTGTTATTTTTGTCACAAACATGTGTTGAGGTAACTGAAAGATTACCTTATAAGACATATATAAACTGTAGTATGTAACTGTGTAACTCATGAGATAAGTGCCCTTGCTGATTCTCTTTATGCATTTTACTTGCTATATTCACTAAAATGCCTTTAAAGTATAATATACAGTAGAGGTGAAGTATGAGTATTATTTTGAGTGCTTTTTCATTACTACTCTGTTGGAGATATTCTGAAACAGCAGCAACCCTTTGAAAAGCTCGAAAAGTCCTGTCATCTCTAAGTACTGTAAATGATCATGTTTGGTAACATTTGGTTTGTGATGAGCAGAAAGAAAGAGTCAGTGTCACACTATTACATTGAGACATTTTATATACAATATTTTTTGGTACATGGAAATAGAAAACTCTATAGACAGAAACAGAGACATAAATACAAACCCAAACCATTTTTTTCAGTATAAAACAAACGTGAAATAGTTTGATAGCGCTTCACTAAAGCTATACAGTTATTATGCATAATTATCATGTCATGTCATAAAAGCCTTAATTTAATTATTGAGCTATTTCCAAATAGTTTGATTTCACTGCACTATATTTTGCAGGTTACATTTAAGTATGTTATTGTTGAATGTGGGGCTTGCATGACTTTTGAATAGCGGCTCATGCATGACTAAGTAAGCAGTAATGCATTTCAATCTGTATCACTTTAGTGAAGTAATCCAGTAACAAGACAGGGGTCAATTCAGATTTGGGCATTTTAATAAATGTTGACACATCATATCAAATAATGCCTATTAAACCACTAATTATAGCTTATTCATATAAGTTAATTCTCTTTTTTGTTGGTTAATCTTTATCTTTTCTTGGACTGGAGAATCCACTTCCTGTTTATAAGTAGTTCAAAGACATTGAATTGAACCGTGTCCTGTTACCTCTTTTCCTCTAAGGAGCGGGGGCTTGGCCTCTACAGGTGGCAGTGCTGCTGTTAAATTGCTGGATTAGATTTTTTTGGCAAAGGAAATAGTACAACCAAGGAAACTAAACACACAAAACCTCAAGATAACAACTTATACGCTATAAGACAAGAACGGGTTAGCCTTTCAAATGTTATTTCTTACTCAAGTACAATATTTACATTCTCAGCCGTTTGAGATTATAAACTGCGATGATTTAGATGTGAAAATAATTATAGTCACATATAATGTGTCAAATCTTATCAAATTACTATTAATTGGAGAATGCCTGGTGTTGCTTTGCTTTATATACGTATATACTGTACAGTGCTTTTTCATATGCAAGGGACAATTTTTCGATAATATATAAAGGAGAAATTCAACATCAGAATGTGTGGGATGTGTGGCAGTCAGCCTGCCAACAATTGGTAATGTTTGATTACAGCGTGTGAAGTAAACTTTGCAGGATTGTGGCAGAAGTTGGCAGATTATTTCTGTTATTTTCCTCCTATTGTTTTACAGTAAATGTCCAACTTCCTCATACTTTCAGTAAATGCAAGCCTTTTGAAATGTATACATCAACAAAAATGAAGTCGTTAGTGTTTGCCAAGATGATTAATTTACCTTCAGGCCATCAGAAATAAAGGAAAGATTCACTATGGTGTGAATCATTTACAGTAGATGCTCTGCTGCTGATCTTATTTTGTGGAAAATTGAAGGTGGCGTGGAATGTGAGAGAAAATGACAGAGGAATTTCTAAAAGCCCATGCCGTTTACAACAATTTTCCTGAACTCTGCTAAACTCCCTTATATGAAAAAAGAATTCAGCCACATTTTTTAAAAACAAAATAATTTGCTACTTTGCATGTCAAATTTGAGCTACATAAGCAAAAGCAGGAAATGTTTCTCAGGACTTTGCAGGAGTTAAATGGAGTATACTGAACGTCAGAACTACAGGTCAAGGGTCAGCCAGGTCCAGGAAGTCTTTCTCGGGTGGGGGTCCACCCCGGTACCAGCTACAGGTCGTGTCAGAGCGACGGATACACGCATACTGCCGAGCCTGCTCTCCATTTAGGCTGTTATCCAGCAGCCAGTCCGTCCACAAGCACTCGTTTTCTCCTGTTGACGCACACGGCACTGTGTAGCAGGTGTTGATCTGTGGATACAATGTTTGAGTAGCCTCATTATTTGTTGCTAAAGTCTGCTTCGCATGTGTTAAGAACGAGAGTTTTGTTGGGTTACATTTGAAAGAATGTTTCTCTATCGACACATGAAGCTATGAATGAGTGTTGATTGTGAAAAGAAAAAACGCTTTAAAGTCTTTCGTACTCAAATAGAGAAAAAGTTTGAGTGAGGGATGAGAAAAACAACTGTTTTGCAGTTTGTTTCTGGAGGTTACTCGAGGGCAGATTTATGACTGGGTCAAAGATAAATAGGAATGAATAGAGAACAAACAGTCCTTACTCACTCTGCATTCACAGCCCATCTGGTATCTGTAGTTGAGATTCTTCTTCTGTGACACGGATAAGTTGTCCCAAGACTCTACGAGGTCGCACTGACCAATGGAAATTCTCCCATCACTCCACATACTTCCTGTTTTGGGACATCACAACACTTCTATTGAAAATGTCATCCTGCATTCAGTAGTTGTCTGGCTGTGTATATATATATATATATATATTTAACAGCCTATAGGACTATTATATAGGATTAAGCAAAGCTGTTATCTGTTCGCAGTTTATATAATTCAGGTTGCGTAATATAGTGAAGCTGTGACATTTTTAGAATTATTTTTCTTAGTTACATTAGAAAACTTAAAAAGAGGGAAATCAGCTAATTTGGTTCTTGTTGTTTTGTACAAACTTGATAAATTAGAAGGAGTGTAAGATGTTCGCTCTAAATGGGATATTTTCTCCTTTTTCCAGTATTTATGCTAAGCTCAGGCGTGTCTGTGAGATGATTAAAAGTCTTCTGATTCTAACTGAATGCAGTCTGCAGCATGTACCATGCACACATGGAAGTCATATTGATCTTCTAACCTAACTCTTAGAAGAGTAGAGAAAAAAATAGACATGTATTTCCCAAAAGGTTAAACTTTCTGTGGCCTTTTCCTACTAAAAGTGTGATATATAGATTGACCATTGCGTACTGTACCTGAAAGCAAATAGCCTGCTTTATTGTTGGAGTCCAGTTTGACTCCACACAGAGAGGAGAAGACTGGGGTGTACACGTACTGAATGTCCTTGGCCTTGTTGAAACCCTTAAACATCTGTACACAGAGAAACACAGGGAGAGATTGGAGAGGAAATAAGGGGGTACAAAGCTGGACTAATACAATTTAAATACACTATATATGTGCCAACAATGCAAGCAGCAGCAATAATAATAATAGGACAATGTATATGTGTCTCCAAAAAGAGACCTTGTTGGATTCAGGGTGGGAACCTTTACATGATTTGATTTGATAAGCTTGAGAGAAGAATATTTTCTTTAACATTGAGTGAAATTAATGTTGTAATGTTATCAAAAGTTGAACTCTTTAACTGTATATGTTGGTGTCTTGAGGGTTGTTCCCCTCGTGTGAATATAGTTCAAAATAGAAATAAAACAGGCTTTCTTTCATTTGAAGCAGACACTAATGGCCAGTATTCGGTCAAATGGAGATGGACCATTTTGTTTCTGGTGTGAATAAATGTTTTGATCAATGGACCAATTAGAATTTGTTTTCCTTTCCTGAAAGCGTAGCCAATGCCCACATAATTATAGAGCTATACACCCATCAGCATAAACGGCAGCAATTATGCTTGCATGCTGCAGCTGTTAGTACTGTACAGAGATCTCACCTTGATCATTTTGATTTCATACTGGATCATCTTCATGTAAGGTGAGGAGCTGTTGCTAGGCGACACAATCTTCTCTCCGGAGATCTTTGCTCTTATCACTGACGGGAGAAGTAAAAAAGAAACAGCAATAAAAGAGTATTGAGATTAAGTGAAATGCCATAGGCAAGATAAGATGGTGATTTACATGCAATAAGTATTCATGTTTACCATTAATGGGTTACATTTTTCTCCTTCACTCTAGATTATCGATGGATAAATGTGTTATTTTCTTTCTTTATTCCCCTTCTCCTTCCTCCTTTATCATTTTGCTTGTCACTCGTCTTTCTCCCCACACAGACAGTGCAGCGATCCCTCTCAGTAGTGATACAGGATGTGTCCCTTCTCTCCTCTGGGAGGGAAATCAAAACCCACATGGAATAACAAGTAGCTCTCTGCTTGCACACTCCCATTAACTGACTCCACACACACACATTTATGAATACAGTATTTAACAAATGCATACTAACACAAGCCAAACCGTGTCTGGCACAGAAGTGATTTCATATTATTTTATTCTGTACTTAAATGTAGTAAAAGGATAAAGTAGCAGGGTAATTGGTCTGTGGTTCCTCAACAGGACATTTGAAGCCGTATCATTTTACAACCTCTCATTAAAGACAAAACCCTCATTACACTGAAGGTATTATTAATGTTGGATGTTTCAGTCCCACAAACCACAACATGCAGTTAACACTGCGCCAAATACAACAGTGTTATCCCAGACATACAGAACTGCTTTTTTCTCCTTCCATCAAACCCATTAATCTGCACTTTTTGACATCTGCATGAGTCATTATGTTAACTGCCAAATTCATTTCACTGTCAAACATTTCCTTAAAACTCACAACACTGTTGTAGGTCAATCAATCACTCAAACATAATGAAGTGTACTATCAGGCCA